CTGGTCGCACAGCACGCTCAAGCCACGAACCAGCGACGAGCGCCGGTCGTCAAGTCCTCCCAGCAGCGTCTCGCCAGCAAGACAGCATAGAGCCGACGTTGACGCGAGAGCGTCGAGTCCGCATAGACTTCAAACGAGAGTCTAGATGTCAAAGCCAGGAAATCAGCTCAATATGTAGTGTTGACGGCGGGGTCGGGACCCCAGTCCTCTAGTCAAAGACGGCCGAGATCGATTGTCGTCGACGGCCTGGATTGAGTTGAAACTGTATCCTCCTTGGTCCACCGTTCTGACTGGGTACCTGCACACATACAAGTCAATGCACACGACCAAGGGCCTGGGCGAGGTACTTGGACCTATAGTTGACTTCGACCTTTGAATTTCTTGCTGTGCGTGGTCACACAACACCCGCAGCAGCCTGAGGCCGAGCAGCACGTTGTCGCACTGCTTGCTGGGCCTGGGCTTGGGTTACAGCGGCCAGGCCGCTGCTGAACGCGGTTTACTGCATTCCTGTCGGCCCGAATTCCCGCAAAAATACTTAAGACTTCAGTCCGCGTTCATAGCTAGCAACAATATCAGGAGCAGTATCCATCAGTTCCCGTCTGCTAAACCAACTGTCTTCGGGGGCATCTTGGAACTGGAATCTCACTTTATACTGCTTCTGAGGTCTGCCTCTTCCACCAATAGAAAAGAATCCATGGTTAGTAATTTTCTCAACCACATAGCTGCCATTCATAGACGGAGGTATAGCAGATGGTCGGTGAGGAAATTTTGTTCCTTCTACATATGGAAGCAATTTAGACGCGTGAAAGACGGGGTACGTCCGAAGATGAGGGGGAATGTCAATCTGGTATGATGGTCCATCGCCATCCCCTATCACCTTGAGAACTTCCCAGGGTCCTAGATAGACAGGCATCAGTTTATGAGAAACATCTTCTTCTAGAGTGAACTCTTTGGACTTAACCCAGACCAAGTCACCAACTTGAAAAGTAGACGGGCGTCATGCGCTCTTGGGTTTTCCTCAGATTCTCCTTCACCCTTTTGATGTCTTCGTGAAACATAATGGCATATTCCTTTGTCCCTGGTGGAAGTCTAAGAAACTGATCCCTGGTTAAAACATCAATGGGACGCTTAGGCTTCCAACCCTCGTGAAGTGTGTTAGGTGTGCGTCCCGTCGCGGTATGCACACTATTGTTATATGCACCGGCAATCTTGGGTAAGTTCTCATCCCAGTCTATTTGGTCAGGACGGACATACATTCTCAGAAGTTGTTGGACCATACGGTTCATTTGCTCAGACTGGCCATTCGTTTCAGGGTGTCTGCCTGACGACATGGTGAGTCGTGTACCGTAGGCCTCCATCAGCTTCTGCCAAGGCATGCTTGTGAACCTGACATCGCGGTCAGATACGATAGACATGGGAAACCCATACTCAATTACCCATCGCGTCTGAAATTTAGCAATCACAAGCTCAGTCTTGGCCTCTGCAAGCAAGGGTATGAACATGGCATATTTAGAGAAACGTTCAACCACAACCATAACTTGACTATTGCCATTTCGGGACTTGGTGAGTTTCATGAAGTCTATGGACACAGACTCACCTGGCTCACTCGGAATAGGTAGTGGTCGGAGTAAACCCAAAGGGTTCTCATGAGACGGTTTGTTTCTCTGACATACTTGGCACGTACGAACATACGTTAGTACATCCTCTTTCAAACCCTTCCATTCATAGTGCTCACGCACTTCAGCATACGTCTTCTTGAAACCAAAGTGTCCCTCTGTGTCATGACATTCCCCAATCAATAGACTTTTCAGTTCTTCCTTGTGAGGAATCCACAATTTCTGTTCCGTCTGGTCCAACAAGAAGAGTAAGTCATCAGACAATCGATAGTGAGGAAGTTGGGATGGGTCCTTGGCTAGGATATCCATGATTGGTTTCCAAACAGGGTCAGTGGCATATCTAGCACGAATCTGATCTTTCACATCATTCCCAACATCTAGGTAAGAGACTATAGCCCCAAAGAAATCACTCCTCCTAGATAGTGCGTCTGCTACAACATTAGACTTACCTTTAATAGTTTTGAGTTTGAAATCAAAGGTATCAATAAAAGCAGACCAACGTACCAACTTGTCAGACAATCGAGGTTGTGTCTTGATCCACTTGAGAGTCGACTGGTCCGAGTACACCGTAAAATGTCTGCCAAGGAGATAGTGTTTCCACGTTTCTAGGGCACAAACTAATGCATACAACTCCCTTTCGTAGGTGGAGTTGGCGACCTTTTCGCACGGCAGACGTTTAGACATAAACTCAATAGGGCGGTAGCCTTTGCCGTCGTCTTGCTGTAAGACAACGCCAACACCGTACTGACTCGCGTCAGTCGTAACAATGAAAGGAAGAGACGGGTCGGCAATCTTGAGGACAGGATAGTGAGTCAGAGCATATTTCAGCTTTCGAAAAGACAAGTCACAATCCTTATCCCATAGCCAGACAGTACCTTTCTTAAGCAACCTTCTCATCGGTGCAGCGATAACAGAGAAGTTCCTAACGAACTTCCTATAGTAACTTGCCAAACCAAGGAAAGATCGAAGGTCTGTCAGAGTCTTTGGCTGTGGCTAATCTCTGATTGCCGAGATCTTCTTTTCCTCGGGCCTCAATCCCTCCTCATTCACTATGTGTCCTAAGTATAAGACTTCAGACTTAGCAAACTCGGATTTCTTTGGGTTGAGTTTGAAGTTACCCTCGCGTAACTTCCCGAGTACTAGACGTAGATGTTTCTGGTGGTCTTCTAGTGTTTTACTATACACTAGAATGTCATCCAGATAGACAATGACGAAGTCGTCGAGCCATTGCCTGAATAACTCGTTCATTGACCTTTGGAAGGTCGCAGGTGCGTTCGTTAGACCAAATGGCATCACGATGAACTCGTAATGACCATATCTCATACGAGACGCGGTCTTATGATGATCGACGGGATCCACCTCGGTCTGGTGGTACCGAGACTTAAGGTCGATCTTACTAAAAACCTTACAACCTTGCAACTGATCCAAGAAATCGTCGATCCTTGGCAAAGGTTCGGCGTTTTTAACGGTGACGGCATTTAGCCCTCGGTAATCGATGCAAAGGCGCAACTCACCTTCCTTTTTGGGCACAAACAAGACAGGTGCACCATAAGGAGAGGAGCTAGGGCGAATCCATCCTTTCTCCGTCAACTCAGACAGTTGTTTCTTAAGTTCCTCAAGTTCCCTTGGAGACATGCGATAAATAGGGCCCTTGGGAACCTTGCTACCGGGCACAACCTCGATCGTGTGCTTGATAGTACGCGAAGTGACCCCGGTTGGTTCAGACAGAACATCGGCAAACTCCGTTAGGAGTGCATCTATGCCAGGAGGATGGGTAGTCGAAGACTCACCTACTTTCTTAACTAACAACATTACTACCTCATCCTCTAACTTCTTCTTTGCAACCATCGATCGGAATGCAGGGTAGCTCATGCAACAGAAGGACAAGACAGAGTCGGACCCTGACCGATGATACAACTTAATCGGTTGCAACTCAGACGATTCATCCTTAATTCTTACTTCTTTCTGTTTGAAATCAATCTTGGGATCAACTTCCACGTGCCAATCCATTCCCAAGATGATATCAAACGGCATGTTCTTCTCGATCAGGAAGGGAAGCTCATGCCAAATCTTCTTCCCATCCTTGGTACTGAACTGACAACGAACACGATCGACGTACTGCGTTACCGTCATTGTGCTTTTGTCAGCCAACATAGATGTGATCGGTTTAGACAAAGTCTGGATCTTCATGCCGAGGTGCAACTTGCAGATTGCACGTTCAGACATGTAAGATCGTGTGGACCCAGGGTCCAACATCGCACCAACGTGTGTGCGATTGACAACCAAGTCGGCAATCAATAGTTCCCCCTTAGACTTGGCTTTCTTCGCCCACGAACTGCGTAACGCGACTAGCTCGCTACCAAGTTCGTCAAGGGAGTCGTCCAGAGACAGGCATAAGACAGGAGTGGGGTTGTCCGGACGACGCGCACGTGATCGCACCCTCCGACTCTTTAGGAACAGATGTTATTCCTACTGGCTGCTCCCTTTTGAGTTCCTCGTAGGCGCCTCGCATGTGATCGCACCCTCCGACTTTGTAGGAACAGATGTTATTCCTACTGGCTGCTCCCTTTTGAGTTCCTAATCAACGGACAAAAGGCAATGACATGCCCCGCAGTGCCACACTTGAGGCACTGCGCATTATCCATTATATCTTGCCACACCTCCCGGGTTAGTCCCATCTTCAGCCACGGTCTGTCGGCCGCAATCCCAGGATGGTATGGGAAGGAGCGTGGTCCTCCCTTCGGTCGAGTGTTCGATGACGGTCCTCCCTTGTTGATCGTCGCGATAACCTCCCCCTTTCCAGGGTCACTGCTGCTGTCACCAGCACCCTCGTTCTCCAATGGCCATTTCTCCATTGTATCATCGTCGAATACGACGAGGGTGTGATCTTGGCGCTTTTGACGCCATATGACCCGCTTGTCGTAGCCTCCCCGACTGCTTCCTCCTCCATTCTTTACGGCAGCAGCATAGGAACCTTTGACTTGCGAAGTCATTCGTTCCCGCTGCAACGCCAGGTCGCGGAACTGACGGTAACTATACTTACCGGACTTGGCCTCGGCGACCAAGTGCCCTCTGATCGGTTCGGGTAATGCACGCGAGTAAATGTAAAGGACCTGAGAGTTCTGCAGGTTAAGACCGGGAACCTGCAACAGTCGGTCAACCTCACGAGACAACGACTCAACTGAAGACCAGGACTTCTGTCCTATCGTGGTGAGTTGGTCGAAGGCCTTATCGGTCGTAGTCTTGTCCAGAAAGCGGTCCTTGACTTTTGCAAGGAATTGCTTCAAGGTCATAGTCTTCGCCCAATCACCTATATCGTCAAACCTCGCGGCATTCGCCTCTGCCAGAACCCATTGCTTCACTTCACCACCCATACAAGAAGTGGTGAACGCAACTTGCGACTCTTCTTCTACCGGTGCAGTCCCAACATAGGTCTGGATCTCTGCGATCCAGAGCGGAAGGCTTTTTTCTTTCTTATTAGAAAGAGTAACAGATAATTTCATCTTCACCTTTTCTTTTTTCTTTGGCTTAGTCGGATCTGCGGGTTTGGCATTGTCCTTAGGAGGGGGAGTGAGACCGTTGGGACCACCATTCCCATTTCCATTCCCGTCTCCATTCCCGTTTCCATCACCATTCCCGTTGGGCTTCTTTTCCGGTTTCTTTTCCGGTTCCTTCTGGGGTTCTTTTACCGTTTCCTTCTTCGTTGTGTCGCTGTTTTTCATTCCACCAATAAGCAACTTCTCGGGCTTGACGTCCGCTCTTCTTTCTTTATCTTTTTTCTCTTCGTCATTTTAAAGCATAGGGGCTTTCCCCTTGACAATGCTAGTAATGACATGAAGGCCAACAGCTAATTCATCCATTCTAGATTGCTGTTGGTCTAACTTTTCTTCAAGAAAAGCCAAATACGTCAATATTTGTCCGAGCGTCTTAGCAACATCTTTTTCATCTAGAAAAACGTGTTGTTGTGATGAATTAAGGATTCCATGGATTGTTTCATTTGAGAGCGTGAAGGAGGACAAAGTTTACGATCTACCCATTCTCTGCTGCAACCTAGTTTCCTGTTCTTTTCTTTGCGACAGCGCGAGTGTCTCTTTCAACTGTTGTATGTTCTCTTCAATACTTTCTACCTTTACTTCTGGCACGGTATCTTTCCGTTGGGCAATCTTTTCCAACTGCTGGATGGTGAATTGGTCCAGTATCTCACGACACTGGCCAATGACTTTATGGATCTCTGTTGCTGCCGCCACCATCTCTACACCCGTGGTAGCTTTGGCCAAGCGATTAGAGATCGCTTCAAGGTCAAACTTACCACGGATGTGTTCTCTTGCGGTCGGGACAGCGTATTCTATGTCCACCAGCAGCTGGGAGCGAAGTTCTCCCAATTCACCTCTTCGTGCCTCGATCTGGGCACGTGTACGCGGTTCCATCGAAGAGCTACCTGCTCCCACCGCATAAGGCACATGCCCAGGTCCGAACAGACGAGGCACCCACCTTGTCAGCAGGGACTGACGCATGTGTTGAACAATTGGTGCCATGATTAACGTCAACAGGAAACTTAACAGGCCAATCCTTTCTCAAATAAAAATGAAACAGACAATATTATCTGATGGTTGGACAGCCACTCAATCGTCAGTACAACAGAGGATTCACAAGAAAATAAWTAAATAAAAATAATTAATTATTCTCTTGATTGATGTCTTTTCTATAAGCTGTTCTAATTTTGTTTTTTTCTCCTATTCGTGTGATGACTCCTCTTCCAGGTAATCGAGCAGGCCAAGATCGTTAGCATTCACAGGTACGTGTGCACGAACAGCCAGACAACAGGTAAGTACCGACAACACAAACAATCAACGTCAGTCTTCCCCACAATGCCACGTCAGCATGCACTCTAATCACCCCGACAGCAATCAAGCACCACAAGCCAAAGTCTGCCGCTCGTGCCGCTCCCAACGCCGGAATGCATCAATCGTTTCCCGAGGCACGTCGTGCCTGCTTCGGCCAAACCCCCCGATATGCCAACTCAGCTTTCGCCAAGTCAGCACTTCGAACCAATCAAAGATCGTGGGGGTGGCTTCAACAATGAATGCTGGCCGCTCTTTCTCTTGTTACCCAGATCCGTTCGTGAAGGTGATCTCCAACAATGTTGCGCTTCACCAGTCTTCTCGCCATATCCCAAGTCCAATCAAAGTCTGCCACGTCAGCGCTTGATCTCGCCAGTAAGGGGCCAATTAATCAGCTCTTCTCGTCGCTGGCTGGCGAAATAGCAATGCGGCAACTCTGTTTTGTCGGCGAGATAGCATCAGCACTTGACAAGAAGTTCACAATCAATATTTCACGCGGACGTGGCAGTGCCACGTCAGCATGAAAGTCCAACGGCAGTCAATATCCTGCCCTTCATCACCATGTCCTTCGCGCGCGTCGTCGAGCTCGATGTCTAGACAACGTGTTAATAAACTCGCGCGACAATAATGTCGCGAAGAAAGAGCATTCCCGATAATCACTTACCTGCGCGCGTGGAGAGAAAATGGCGCGTTCGTAATCAATTGCGTCGGAGAGACGCGAACGCCGTGATAGACAGTGTCGGAAATAAAGCTCCGATACCAAATTGCAATGTGCCCAGTCGTAATAATCAGTCGTCACTCGGAAAGACAAAGTAGACAAACACTGCTGATAAATCAAAATAATAATGATCCCCAACGAGAGAGAAGCCATACACAGACGAGAGAGGGAGGAGGGAGAATAGACTTTGAGAGGGTGGAAGAGTCTCCTCCCTACAGCCCACTTCCTCTTCGGGCACTTCCTCCTCCTAACAGCATAATCGTGTCTCAATCAGAGATCCGGATATCCAAGACAATGTAGA